GCGGCGAGGGAGGAGGATTCGTCGGGGTAGGAGGCTGCACCGATACCCTTTTGCCAAGAGAGAGGAAACGCCGGGTGGTAGGAGGTCCTCGAGTAATCATATAAAGATAGCTCTGGAGTCGCGAGAAAGGTCGAGTATCAACTTTTGATCCTCCGATATCTCCCTGGCAGGAGGTCTGGTGGGCCCCTTCCAATCGTAGGAGCGTGTCTGTATTCAAACGGCTCTAACTCGATATAAGCGACGCTCCCAGAGGCATCCTTCCGCCGAGGAAAACGAGGAGAACTGAGCTGGAGGACACCAGATCCACCCTACCGTGTCGCTCACGCCCACCCCCTTTGGATCTTCGGAAATAAGAGTATCCCGATGTAGCCGGTGCCTCCAATCGAATTTACATCCCGACTGCTTCAGCTTCACCCCCATTCCAAAGAACGCGGGGGTGGATCCTTGACTTCGCCAAAGTGCCATCTGCTATGATCTTGCATGGGTGGAAAGCCGCATAGCGACCACCAAAATGGCATCTGGTGGTCCACTACCGCCGATATTCTCAAACATATGCGACGACATACCGAGTGGAGACTGATGGCTTCTGCCAGATAGTTCCTCGGAGAATATCTGATATGATATGTTATGAATATAGAAATTTATCCTACTTCGGAGAACCTGTCTGATCATTGAAACAAGTGTATGAAATAGTTAGCAAGTAAGGAAACAGCAATTCGCTAAATATATATGGATGTGTGAATGTTTATATCTGAAACAAAAATTACTTATAATTAATTATATAAAATAATAAAATAATTATGTAAAATGATAACGTGAAATAATACAATATAATGTTAAATAGATGCATATATATGTTTTATAACTGTTGCACCAATCAATAGATTAGAAATATGCAATATAACTTTCAATTGTCAAATTATCATTAAACCTTCAAAATTATTAAAATATTTAATTATTAAATAGGAAATGTAAATTATTATTAGTATTAGTATAATAACAATGGCGATAATCGATAAAAATGACAAACTTTCAAAAATTAATTATAAGATGTGTATACAAAATAATTAAACTTTATTTTACTAATAAAGTAAGTCGATCAATTCATTTGTTATTTTTATCAATATAGTTTGCGATTTTATATATATCTATTTTATCACCAACAAGTAAAAGAGCAAGTTACTCTGATTACATATGAATACTACACTCTCTACGTTATCAGCAAAGTTATCACCAAACGATAAGGGAGAAGAAAGTGTCAATTTTGCACGAAAAAGATCAATAATAACACCTGTCAACATATTAGGTATTTGCAGAAATAATAAAAAGTGCAGAAATTTTTAAATATCTAACACGTAGAAAAACTTTATAAAATTAATCTGTATGATTCACATTTTACAGAAATCTATTTATAAATATAACATTTTTAATAAATAGTTTGTTCTTATAGAAACACAGTTTTGTTTTATAATAAATTTATTATTGAATTATATTAAACAAAAATGTCTGAATTTTGATGTACGATTATCTCTGTGAATATAAATTAATACTATCCCGAAAAAAAAGATTCTAAATAAATTTATATGTGATATAGATTTATATCTCTTTCTAAATATTTTCTATATAGATTATAAGGATTAAAAATTTTTCTGTCGAGCACAGGATAAAAGGAAGTCTAAGGACAATTAAAAATGCGTACACAATATTAAAACGAGAGTCAAGTATATTCTATCGTACTTTAATAATAGTCTTATTCAAGAGTACGCCACAGCGGCTCGCGAGGATCTCCTTGTCGTATAATATTTTTCCTCGCAATTTATATTACTATAAAATGGTTAGAAGCCACAGATTTTGCATTACATACCCTCGCGAGATTTCTCGCGGCTCTCGAATATATTTGAAAAGATTATTAATTGCGCTGTTACTTTCGTCGATGAGAAGAAGCCAATCCGATGTAACGGACGTGCATTCTAAAACTTGATTGACTGCGGATGTATATACGGAAGAAAGCCCTAAATACAAAATAATCTTATATGTCTTGACTACAAGCAATAATATTATGTATACTATGTATTATAATTGTAATAAAAATAATTTTATACTAAACATGTTTAAAATAAGAATACATTCTGTATATAAATGCGCATACACGTAACAATAATAAATTTTTATACGCAACACAATCGCCTGCAAAATTAGAAAAAAGTAAATTAGCTTTCACAGAATTAATTAATTAATTAATTAATTATAAAAATTTGATTTTAATTTCGCGGCTTTCTCCCACTTCGCGTCTACTTAAAAGATTGCTCCGTTTCTTCTTATCTATACCTAATAACATTAGTAATAATATCTCAATCATACCAACACTTTGCTATAGCGCGCCTTCTTAATGAAGATAAATAATCATCTTGGAGTGAAAAAAGGTACATCAATGAATGTCATCTGGTATCCGTCGCTACTGATCAATCAATCATGCATTAATGCACGGAGAAGAAAATGCCATTTGGTATAATCGATCATTTATTTTAGACATTTTCCAGCACGATAAAAACTTTCTCATTACATCACTGAAAAATGAAAGCTTAATCTTTTCTTTTCAGCTGACGAAAATTATAATATGATGCACAGATTCTGCATGTACTTGACTTATACTACTTTAATTTTACGTGACATTTGTATAAAATCTACCGTTTTGCTTGTAGAGCGTTTCTCGAATGAAAAGATCGATCACTAAAGACAATTATTATCTTGTCGGTGACGATTTCGCAGAGTTGTGCCTTTTTTCACATCTGAAAAGAAATTACATCATTTTTAACAAGATTCTCTATTTGCATGTATTTAATCACAATGGCAATAAATTGCTGTATAGATGGCTGATAGATTAAGAAAAACACAAAAGTTTATGATTATTTATTGCATCTACATCAACAACGTGTCTCGTCGCAAAACATGATGATCGTAAGATTGCAAGTTTTTGCAAAAATTTGTGTTTAATTAAAATTCTGAAAACAAAAATTATATCGCGCTTTATTTTGTTCTAGTGATGAATTTCTCATGTTTGCTTTTATGTAAGAATTCAATTGTTCCATGCTATATGCACATTTCTTTGGACGAACAAGAACTAGATTTATCTCATCTAAAACATATCTAATAATGTACTACACAGATTGCTTAAATAATATAAATAGATGAAAATTATAATTGAATTAAAAATAACATTATGTAAGAAATAATTAACACATCAAATACAATTAACAGAAATAAAATATTTAAATACTGAATTCGAAATATTAAATTGTGTTTAATTAAGCATTGTAATGTGTATTGGTTAAAAACGCAACAGTTGTATCGATTAAAAATGCATAGACATTGTGAATAGCTTCTTCATCGATCATATTTTTTGCCTGAATAAGAAATTTCCATAAGTATCATTTTATTTATAAATAGCTCAGAATTCAACTTTTTTTTATACTTCTTAAAAACCTTAAAAGTTACAAAATATTTAAAAGATACAGTATTGTATAACTATATAATTTAAGGGACAGAATGTGTGTGCGACGATCCAATAAAACATCACATATGATATTTAATAAATTAAAAATGTAATACACAGCCGAAAGATTTTGCGAGCGGAATGTTTATCGCGCGGATTCCTATAGATTAAATCTGGAAGTAAATATTTTTATTCCAGTTTTTGGTATAAAATTTTATCGGAGTGTTCGAATATATAGCGTAACGTTTTTTAATTAACATACACACGCGAAAGTTTCCCTAACAATTCGATTATTTATCTGGCAAGCTTAGCAACGAGTTATTTGGCACTTGACCTTCTTTAATAAATCCTGTTATTCGGTGTATCGTTAAATTCTTTTTTCCTAATTCTTACCATGGCGAGAACGATGTGTTTGCTTTTTTCATTCGTATCTCTCATTCAACTCGAAGTGCGCAACGTAATTCAGGCCTAACACTTTGGTTATCATTACATCGCTTATAATTACAATTACAGTTATATGCTATGAGAAGTATCCTCAATCTTCTGTGTGTAATTATTTGTTATCAATTTTTTTAACGTAAAATACGTTTATAGAACAAAATTACATGAAAGATGTGCCAATAAAACATCGTTTTACATTCCATTGCTTTTTCGCGCAATGTGCGTTTTGAAGATTGAGGAAACCTGCTCGTTATATCGTTATTCGCGTCTCCTTAACTCAACGTGAAGTTCTCATTGTCAGTAGAAGGAGATTTACGTCAGAAAACTCAATCGAACACATAATCAACTTCATGACTTACACGTATGTAAAGTCTATACATAACTTCGAGTAAAATTATTTCCATCGCCTGGATTATTTCTTTTTTTATCTAGCTACGAGCATTTTACTTTTCAACAATCGCATTTTGCTAGACTCTTTTAAGTAAATATTAATAATAAAACATATAGCGTGTGTGTAAATATAATATTCCCCTTTTGTATACATACACATATACACATGTATGTATATAATAGAATTCATATACCGCGCATGTATACGGGCGATTCGATTAAATAGTATCGATACGTTTATCCGAAGGATGACCAAACGCGACGCAGACTAATTATTAATTAGGATATCCTATCGTAAATTTGGCGCTATTTGGCATAGTTTTGTTTATCTAATTTTTGAACCGTACTTTCTCGTCGTTTTTTAACGCAATTTTTTAAAATTGAATTTTCGAAAATTTAAAAGTCGTTGTGCTACTCAAATAATATAAAACATTTTTAAATAATAAATAGTACCAAAGATCAACTTTATTATCACTTACGTTATAAATTCGTTCGATATTCATGGTATATTATTACTAAACAATCGTATTTGAATGTATTTGGATGAAATAATTTACATATCTGCAAAGTCCAATTCTGCGTTTATCCGATGGACACTGTTGAGCAAATAATCATCCAATCGTATTTAATTGTTAAATAAATTATTTGTCAAGTGAATATATATATATATATATATATATATATTGTATATTTGCGTGAACTTTACGAAACAAAAAAATAAATTACTCCATTTTCCTGTCATATATGTTCGATTGCTGTGTAATATCGTTGCCGCTCTGTTCGCTCTCGTCAGTCTCTGATTTCCGCTGATTTTAACGCGAATGTTGCGCAATTGCCGGAAGAAGTCAACACGCCATTGGCGTTATTCTCCTCTTCTGGAATATGTGGCAGAGCGGATTAACAGAGGGTCGATTTCGAAGTCTTTGTCTGCTGGTCGCCTGCTACTGTATGGAACACACAGTCAGATGATGCGACAGAGCGTGGTCCAATAAAATGGGAGTGCCCGCTGCCAATTCCGTACCATCGCCACAATCGTCTTCGCAGTCGAAGTAGTTGCTCTACACAAAGAAGATAAAGAATGTTAGCGTTCAATTGGAGAAGTACAATTTATTTGAGACGAGGCCGATTCGGACTGCAATTGATATTCGAATCTACATAAAGTAAACTTTTTAATACTTTTTTTAATTAGCTTTTTAATTTTAAGTAATATTATTTTTAGTACACAATAATTATTATTTTTATAAAATTTTATACATAATTAATGTATTTTCTTTTATTTTAATATAATAGAAATCAAATTATGATTTTGAAATTATGGTCCAACTTAATTCGAAAAAATGTAATTAATTACCTCCTAGTTAATTCAAAGATTTAGTTGGAATTTCAACAAAAAATTTTACATAATTAATCAAATTTACATGTAAAGTAACAAATCTTGTTACTTTAATAGAATAATAATTTTCCAATTGCAACGATGCAAACTAACGAACCCAGAAGTGCGAGCCAAAATAAAGCAGCAAAAAGTTTTACTTCGCGACGAGTAATCCATAACAGAGCTATCCAATTAATACATAAACTAGCTAGTATCGACTTTATTTACGCGACTATTGTCCGTATTGTTTTGTTGTGTCTCTACAGAAAGAGAGAGAGAGAGAGAGAACAATTACGTATAATTGGTTTAAAAAAATAATCTGTATAAATTTTAATTGAATTCAACATTTCTCGGTTAATAATCCAAATAGAGAATTCGTAATTGCCAATTTGCAAAATGGCTGAAATAAAATGCTTATAAGTAAATGCACCGAATCGTACATAAGAAAGTCCAACTTTGCAACTGCAATATATTACTAAAGCATCTTGCCAAGTTTGTCTTCTGCGACTTTGTTAAGCTTTGAAAAGTTACGACAATGTAATTTGTCAAGCGTATTCTATTCCAAAAGAAATCTTGATTTAAGATTTAAGAATTATTGGGAGATTTCCAAAATTAGACATTAAATTTATAAATAATTAAGAGTTCTCGCTTTGTTTTCAATGTTTGAAAATATAAAAGATATAAAGTGATATATGTGAATTGAGTTTTAATGAATGAATAATTACCTGGCAATCGATGCATCGGCAACTATCGGTTAATGAGCAAGTGAGGCCGAGAATCTCGACTGCCTCCTTATAGAGTTCCGCGCTCGATTTTCGCCGTCTCGGTGGCGACGTTGGTGCGCTGACGGTGCCCGATGATCTTCTGCCGCTCTTCAGCCTCGACGAGGAGTCTCGAGACAAGGAGGAGGTCGACGTCGATCCCCTTGGCCGATTGTCGCTCGTGAGCAACGCTCGACCTGCTGGAGACGCGAACAGTTGCAGCATATCCATGTCCTACGGTCAAACGTCCGCAAATTAATGGAAATGCATAAGATCGCACCTACATTATTTATATCTAAAGTCCGAACGATTGACATTATTCAAATGATACAAAATATTATTTCATAATTAATTTGATAAATAATAAATAATAAAAAATATTATTTACTTACATCTTATCATCAAAGTTCTTATAATGACAATCACAAGGAAAGTATTTTGTCAAAGATATAATATACATGTTCTTTTTTTAAATAATAATTTTTTTTAAATAATAATTTAAAATTCTATAAAATTTTCGTTTCTCTTTCAGAAACCTAAAAGACGGCGGTTAAGCTTTATTATAAAAGATACAATGTAATTTTGAATTACACGGATAATGTCCAGCGGAGCATAAAAACGGTGCTCGTTATAGAACTAAAGGAATTCTCTTCGTCTAACAAGATATCATTCTCTCATGAAAATCTCTTTTTCCGAAATCCCATTCGTTTCGGATCGTCGAGAACCCCATTCATGACACGCCCTCGGGCGAAAGACTTTTCTAACAACGGCGAATGTACGAGTATTATGACAACGAGAAATGTGCTGTATAACTTCGAAATGGTAGAGATACTCCTGGATACGACACATGTTATTAAAATTACTGCGCTCTAAATGATGTTCGTTCAACATTATTTCCCAGAATTTTCTACAGAAAAGGAAAATTCTATATGCATAAAATAAAAATTGCATAATGGTAGCCTTCCGTATTTTTTATCTTCGAGACGTTATTAAAATTGCCCGACTATACAAATTTTATCGTGTTGGAATATTATTTTTTAATAATATATTTTCTCAAATATATATCCGCGTAGAAATGTAGGCTATTCTATGGCACTTTCATCTTTTTACAGTATAAAGTATATTTAAAAACCAAAGTATTGATATAGACGCGTTATTAAAATTGCGGAACTATACGTCATCACTCGTCCGCGGATTTTACTTTATAAAGCTGCTAGTAATGATCAAACTTTCACATTTGCAAAAAAATATTTCAGTCGTAGTCTGCATTCGTTCCTTGCAGTGAAAAGCAAACTGCAAGCATATCATTAAAAATATAGAACAACGTATGATTTTTTATCATTTTTTGTAAAGAAAAATTTTTAGACGTGCAAGACACGAATGAATACCGAAAAACCCGACCGCAAATATCAGATGGTGATAATATTTAGAGAACAGTTTATTCGATTCCATGCAGATCATTAAAAATCCCTCGCTGAAATGAACGTATTTGTGTAATAAACGCGCTTTCATATCGGACGATGGTCGAATCGTTTCACCGGAAGAAAATAATTGGAACCGAATAATTGGATACGACTTGAGAAGTTGAAGAACTTTGAATAAAGATATCGCGATTTCCGTCTTGCGCGTAAATTTTCCGCTTTTACTTAAATTTTACAACTTCTGCGTCGATATATCATTCCGCAAGTAGGGTCGGAAAAATAGCAATTATGCGCTTCGCGCTCTCTTCTATTTTCTGAATAGCCTGCTGTTATATTTTCGTTAAAAAAGACTTTTTATCGAGTTTGAAAATCTCTTTTGAAACTAGTCGCGATCAGTAAAATCGGGACGAAAATCGCGCGATTTTAAAAGCACTATCTCCGACTGACTGCTCTTTGCAAACTGCAACTATACATTGTGAGAACTTTTGGTAAAATGCAAGATGCGCTCTTAGCGAGCTGCAGCAAGCTTCGTCTACGAGCTGCAGCAAGCTTCGTCTACGAGCTGCGGTCGAAGCGATTTAAGCTCCACGCTTAATGTATCTCAACCAACGTTTAGAAAGGTTTCAAGGAGGAAAATAGAACTTCCTGGAAAAGCCAGCGAGATACCACATTCGATGCAACTAGGATTTGTTAAATGATCTCGCGTTATTCCGGATTGTGGGGAAGGTATTACAGCTATCAGATGAACGCAATAAATTCTTGCAATAATCCAGTAAAATAATGAAATTATTGTCGTAAATCATTTCATAAATACGAACTTAATCATTGAAATTATGTAATTTAAAGTGCAAAAAATCTTAAAAAATGTGTCAACATACTCTTTCTCTCTCCTTCTTTTCTTTTATATCCACAATAAAAATTATAAAAAAATGTATAATTATTAAACATACATATTAAGAAATAAAACGTATCGCACTAAATTCATATGAATATACATTTCATTTCAATGTTAGGCGAATTTTGAGAGCAACTGGTTTTCAATTAATGCTCTGATTAATAGCGATCGAACTGCATCCTGCTAGAAAGTTCATGGTGAAACACACAGGAGAGAGTTACTCGAGTGACTCCTTTGTCAGCAGGAAATGTATCTTGTCTTCTTGCTGAGTGTTCCCATTGAGAGAGATGCGGTTAGCGTAACTTTAAACGAATAAAATGTCGGTACATTAATGTCACTAGAAACTTCAATAAAAGCATGCAATTATCGTTTAGCATTATTTATCGTTTAATGGAATTGTAATTTAATTTATCGTAAAATATTTTGTACATGCATTAATATCTCAATGCAACACAACAAAGAGATACATCTGCCTGATAAGCATTTATATCTCATTAATTTGGTGATAATTATACAAAATAATCAATTTTTGCAGCTGAGTATATTCATCCATAGAAAACAGAGAATTTTATCATTTATTTGTTTAATGTGACGTAAACTTCTGATAATTTGCGCACAAACAAACATATCATTTATTCGCGACAAACTATTTCAACTGCATTCAAAGTTGATCATATTTGGAAAAGTTTGTAGATAGAAGGGCAAGCTAAAATATTGTCGGCAATTTTTTGCGCTGAGATTTAAGGCCACAAAAATAACGGTTCATCTTTTTATTCGCTCGTATGAGATTCTCTCATCTACCTTTAATATTATCTACTAAAAAAATAAATAAAAAGTCAGTCTTAAAGAAGAAAGGATCTTTAACCCTTTACCGCTACCGAGCGCGATTATATTCCGAGAAGCAAAAACTATCTTTTCGGCCATTTTTCTTTTTATAGCGACGACGACACGATTTTTATCTTATCATGTTCAATGGTGACGCCTAAAGGAAACATCATCTTCAGGATAGTTGACAGCGGACAAAAGAAGTTGATGGCAAATGACAAAGAGATCAAATGGTAGACGATAACAAGCACCAAGCTGATTCGATGTTCCGAATGTACAGAAGAAGACAAGGGATCTCGGTTTGGTCCCTCGGGACGCATATCCCGTCGTTCCATGTATTTTCAGCCGCGCGTGAACTTTCCTCGCATCCTTCAACGCTGATAGATAACCCGGTCGAACGAGCGGGCTTAGATAGAACTGACGAAGACTTTTTTGCCACGATAGAGTGGATTCTACGAAAGAAGTTCGCGTGTGTGCTGCAAAATAATATTTATTGGATGTTGAAAAATATACTGCATGATATAAAAACCTCGATATATTATTCACTATACTTCTTCTTACAAGATCAAGCAGAGAAATATATTATATCCAGTCCGTTAGACTGAAGCCGCAATAAAATTGAAATAACTATACAAACAAATAACACAATTAATTATTCAAAAATTGGATTTTTTCAACTTTTTTTGATAATAATATTTTAAAATATTAAAAACGTGTATTCGCTCGTCTATTGATTAAAACAAAATTTAGTATATAAAAAGGCCAACTAATCGAGCATTATTAGATAATATAAACTAAATATTTATTCTATATAAGATAATACAGTACAAACGTTTCGACCGCACGCGGTCTTCTTCAGTATAGGAATTAAAAATAGATGATCATAAGTGATTGTAAGTCGCAATTTTATCGCCGAATTAGTGCATGTCGTGTTGAGTCAAATTACAAAACGTCAGTATATTTCTTACGGATTGATCGCTCTATTGAGATGTTTGGCCGATCCCATAGATTTCATCGTTAGTATGCGAGAAAATTATTGTTGTCATAACGCGTTGTAATGTTTGTCGCTTCCCAACTAGACCGTACCAACGTAACATGACCTCTCATTTCCAAATGTCAATAATATTTTAAATTCCAATTTTCTTATCAATAAACAAAATATTATTTTTATTCATTCATTTTCCGATGCCGCAGTTCGATCGATTAATGAAATATCCATCTCATTGAAAAAATCCATTATTCACTAAAATCGAACGTTTAGCACAAGTTTCGGAGATTGAATTTCGTGCAAATTTCCGATGCGCTTTGGTTAATTAACTTCAAGTATTGATTGATTGTAAACAGTTGGCCGATGGAAAATCAGATAAAGCAAGAGCATTGCAAGAAAAATCAATCGATAGTTTATAGCAGTGACAAATCCAATTTATCCCGACTAATTTAATTATTTATGAATCGTTCCAATAGCTTGCATTTATCAATCGACGTAAAATTTATGAATTAAAAACTATGCTAAGTTGAAAAAAGTAGGAGCAAAATCGTTGCTGATATAATATAGATTGGAAATAATTTTTTATTATAACATATCAATCAAATATTAATATTGCGGCTATTATCATATAACAGTTTTAGTAGAAATATATTTGTGGTAATTTAGAAGAAAGTTTTTCAATTTATTTTATATAAAAAGAGAATATGGTATAAAATAGAATTTGGTTAATTAATCAATGTTACGTATTAAAAGTAAAAATATAAATATTGTGATAATAAAATACATGATAGCTCTCCTCGTATAAGTTCGCGTTAACGAAAATAGCTTTTCGATAAATCTTTCTCTCGCGTTGTTTCCATTAACGTACATCAATTTTCTAAATATCGAATCGATACCATTATATCAACATTATATCGCGCATAAAGCTATCGTCGGAATATAATTTATAGAACGCATCTCGAATGTGCCGCATTATTTTGCGATTTTATTCTCTTCTGTGTCAACAGTAAATATTTCCCGAGCAGCGCAAAACGTAACATCATTAAAGCAGTAAATGCCCCATTGTCCGTAACACTCGCATGCGAGCTTTTCCGGTCTTTTCTTCAGAATTATCGTTTATCATCTCCCTGCCGGAGGATCAACGATAATATAATACAAGTACATCTTGCTCGCTCAACAACGCAATGTTCAACCTCCCTCCCTTTCCCTTCTGCGCCTCCGTTAATACCCATTGTAACCTGGTTGTCAACAGAGACCATCGAGAGAGAGGGAGAGAGCTGCCACTAATGAAGAGAATCCAGTTAATTAAGTTAATTAATACCGACAGGGACTGTGTGAAACTTTCGATAAAGGGCGGCGGAGGACGAGAGGAGAGAGCTCACGCAAAGCAAAAGCTCGCACGTAAGAGAGACATACAGGACAATTTGCGAAACAGGATAATTACGTTCGTTTCATCACGCCGATGGACAAGTAATGAGACAACGTTATTAGTCCAGAATATTAAGTCGGTTATTAGATCGTGTATCGTGCGTTTACGCGGTCGAAATTAATAAAGTCCGCGCGTGGCAAATCTGTTTTTTATTGAAACCGAGATTTTTATTAAGCCCCCTTACACACCGAGTTTGCACGTATCTCGTTCGTAACGACCGAGGTGATCCGCCTCCTTTGTGTTTCCACAGGGAAGGATAATTGTCACGTGCGAATGGCGGCGGTATTACCCCTGATCCTACAAAATTATTGATAGTAATTTATAAGAGAATTCTAATAAATCCATCTGCAATTATTGGATAATATTGGATTATAATATATCGCGCGTTATCACTATGATTTTTATTTTTTTTATACAATTATTAATATACATATTTTTGTCTCCCAATGAAGGAATAAAATGCTATGTACATATATAAATTTATATTAAACGGTTTTTTTTATGTACGAAACACTAATCCAAATATATATGAGATAACGGTGCACGAAAAGAACTTAAATCGATACGAATACGCGACATTCGCTTAATTAATGCATTTTACTACGGCGAATCGCTTCGATGCAAATCGTAAATTGTAAATTACTTCTTTTTGGCAAACGTGTCTCGATAATTGTAGTAACTCGCGCGTGAACGCTACATCTTCGCATCGACAATTTCGCACCGATCAATGCAAAATAAAATTGCTAAAGTTGCTGTGCGAATAAATAAATTTTTATCGAGAGCAAAATGTTTTCCACATTAATTGTCCCATCACGAAAGACAACAAGTTTAACCAGTCTATCTTTTACAACATCTGCGGAACATTCCCGCGAATGTATTGTAATCACGTTTGTTAATCATGTGTGTAATGTCGCTATTGCCAATAGTCTATTCGAATAATAATGCATATCGTTGTGTGGTACGATCGCGCTGATCGAGTTTGTATCAATTTACGCGTTTGTGCGCCATTGTTTGTGGACGCGATTATGATAGGCACTATTTTCGAGACAATTATTATGACGACCGTTTTCGCGAGAACTACGCATAATGCGTCACGAAATAACGTATAAATGTTTCAATAATGTTACCCCTCTGCTATAATATATCTCTGTTATAATAATATCCTTTATAATATTAAACATTTAATTAACATAAGTTAATGTAAGTACGTATTTAAATGTAAAGTTTAATTTTGTATGGTTTCAATATTTGAATTGTGGCAAATATAATATGGAGATTATAAATCAAATAATATGAAAAAATATGTCGGAGAATAAAATATTGAAATATTCCTCCATATATATATATTCCCTTTTCCGAAAATTTGCTAAAAATTTCCTTTACACAAGTTATAACAAATTTATAACAGATTACAGTCGAATAATTTTATTCGAAAAATATTGTCTGATAAAATGATATCATCTATATATTTATATGATATCCAGTTATATATATATATTTATTTAAATTTATTCACTTCACAAATAATCGCAATTTTTTACATCCAACGACGATTGATTTGATTTAATAATAATTTATGGTAGTCACAGATTATACTATTTCTCGTAATAATAATTCCTGCTTCATGTATATTACAGGAATTAATATTTGATAACAAGAGCCATTTACCAACAAATTTGAAGAATATAAATAAGGTTCATAATTGGTCATAACATATGATTAAAAAAAGTAGAAACCCGTTATGCATACATATTATGATGTAATTGGTAATAATATCGTATTTCTTTTCGTCGAATTTAATTATAATTCCAACTAAAATTTGATTTAATAAATTTTAATTAAATATTATTGCTGTCGTTTCATGAAATCTTACTAATTTTTGAAATTACAATTATACGATTGTTCGATTAATTACGTCAGGGATATTCGATTAATCAGTTATCGAGATTGAAACTCATGTTATTATGCATAGTACAACGTCGAGTTTGGCTATGCAATTATGACAATAATTGATGAATCTAATCGTGAATCTCATATCTATTAGAGCGTGGAATAATAGATGCCAAATAATTGCTTATTGTTAGTTTGCTTAAATTACAAGAGTAGAGTTTCCCTAATTACAAATCATCGCATCTTGAAATAATTAGTTTTTATCATTACATGTAATCTTATACAATTAAATCAAAGTAATATTTTGGCAACGGCATACACTTTAGTATTATTCGTATGTTTGCACCGTTATCCAATCTGTTTACAATTCCGACTATAGGATTTTATAGATTTACATAATCACGACGATAACAGTTCTGGTAAACTGTGCGTTCTGCAACGTCGTTTGCAGTTAATAATCTGATTACATATTGCATTGGCGATAGCTTGTTTGCCAAAAGTTAATTTTCCTCAAATGTGGACGTAAGTTAAGCCATAAAGAGAAAGTCCTTTTATAGATAACATAGGTATAGTCATCATTTCATTACTTGTGTAAATTAGAATTCTAATTGTTGAATAAAGTAGTATTAATATAATGTATTTGACCTATTTGATCAAAATTGAAAGACGCGACGCCCATAAATCCTTCCAACGATTTGCATTTAAGTATTTGAACTATAGAGATTTATGGAAGGCATCACATCCTCTCTCCGGAGCGGATCACAAGCGGATCGCAATAACAGCTGCGGCTAAGTGGCTCATTACACACCGAATTGTACTCACCGGCAAGGATTCGGGCGTGTGGTCCAGCACGTATATGCTATTAGTGTATCCATACAGCATCGTGTCCAGATCTGAAACCCAAGGTAAGCGAGCAGAGCATTAAATTGGGTCTAACCAGTTGCGAAGCACACACTAATGCCGGTAATGCGCGCACTCACGGCTGCGTCACCGCAGCATTCTAATTCACGCTGGATGCAGTGTACAGAACGGAGCAATCCCTAATACGGTTTCGGAACGAGAACACGAGCGCATCCTTAAATCCCTTTCTCTCCTTCCTGTCCTCTCCCGCTTGAATTTCCTTCAGGACTTTGCGAGTCGCTCTAACATCGTTTCACATTTGCGTCGAACTTGATTCAGTATTCACGTACTTCAAACTTTCTTGGTATATACTATGCTTGCATTGTGTTACGCTGCATTATGCTCTTTGTTTTGTTTTGTGATAATTTTGTAGCTTTGTTTGTTTGTTCTCTGAAATTAAGGAGAGTATCTGCTTTGTAGAGAATTTCAGCATTTTCGTCGGACGTAAGTAGATAATGTCAATCACGTATTGGCCGATGCCAATCAGTAGTTACATATAATCTTAGAGAAACGAAATCTAATACGCAATTTTTCTGTATACGTATTATTTGTTAATTTTTTTAAAATAACTATTCATCAGTTGGTGTAAATATTTATTATTTATTTTTAATAATCACGAATATGATACTCAGATTTCTGAAATTAAGGAGAGTATTTGCTTCGTAAGTAATTTCAGCATTTTTGTCAGACGTAAGTAGATAATGTCAATCACGTATCGGCTAATCAGTAGTTACATGTAATCTTAGAGAAACAAAATTTAATACGTAATTTTTCTATATATATACTATTTGTAAATTTTTTAAAAATAATTATTTCTTAGTTGGTAATTATTTATTACATATTTTTGATAATCACGAATATAATACTCAGGTGAAATTGTTCCTCTGCTTCCTATCCTCTCCTTCCCGCTTGAATTCTGCTTCCTATCCTCTCCTTCCCGCTACTATCATTTCACGGAGAACATTTGCGTCGATCTTGATTCAGTATTTACGTACTTCAAACTTTCTTGGTATTTATACTAGCTTACAAGGGGAGTGCACTGCCTTCCCCTCACCGATTTTAACGAAAATTTTTTTATGTGTAGTACTTAATTAGAAACAAATTCTGTTAAAGCGAGAGAATGCGCTTCTCAAGCGTTCCTCTAAAAAAAAATGTTAAAGATTTGCCAGCATGTCTTAAGCCGTTACTATTTTTTTTTGTGTTTATTTTTTTTTGTTTCTAGGAATATTTTTTAACATTAATCAATAAATATAAAGTTTGTTTAATTATTGGCATTTAATTTTTAACATGCTGTTCCATATATTTAAAGAAAATTCGAATGCTTTCTGTCAAAAATATAATATAAAAAAATATTTAATATTATACGAGAAATATATTACTATTAATTGAACACATAAATAAATTTACAATAATAATTTTTAATAATAATTATTAATTATTTACAATAATAATTTACAATAATAATTTTTTTATAATATTATTGTTAGTGCTTACATTATGCTGCGTTATGCTCTGTATTTTATTTTGTGATAATTTTGTAGCTTTGTTTGTTTTTCGAAATTAAGGGGAGTATCTGCTTTGTGAGTAACTTCAACATTTTTGTTAGACGTAAGTAGATAATGTCAATCATATATCGGCCAATTAGTAGTTACGTGTGATTTTAGGGAAATAAAATTTAATACATGATTTTTCTATATATAGTTATTATTTATTAATTTTTAAAAATAATTATCCATTAGTTGGTGACTATTTATTATATATATCTAATAATCACGAATATGATACCCGATTGAAATAGTTTCTTTAAAAAAAAAAAAAAGCTCGTGCACGAATGTAATTTACCGCAGCCGCAACATCCATTGTAAATAACGCTGACGTAATAGCTGTCGAAGGGCTAACGAGTTTTTCCGCATTGACGTTTGCTGTTACCGTGGAAAAATTATTATCGAGTGAAGTGAAAATAATCGAACGAAGGCAAAAACATCGTGGCTGTTATAACACGTCCGCGAAAAATTTAATAGCTTGACAGAGGTCGATTGCACTGCAAGAGAAAATTAATTCATTGGTATAAAATTTATTGATCTGTTAATATTACACACGGACTCGATCGGCAAATTTACGATATTAATGATATCCTGTTTGCGGTTACAGCATACTAAGTAACATAAACGGTAATGCTAAAAGCGTCCGTATTATTGAATATATTTACCATCCTATACATATTCATAAAATATTGCTATACTACCTTATAATTAAAATTAATATTTCAATATATTATTATTATTAAATTAATTATTTTCTTCTTTGTTTTTCTCTCTTAAAGTATAAGTTTTATAATTAATTAATCGAAAGAGATTGAGATAAATACTGTCTGTCCGACCATTGAAGGCTTTTTCTCCTTCCATGACTATACAATTTTCGAAAGATTCGTCGCTAGATCTCATAAATGGCATTCTAATGGGATGTCAAATGCTTCAACAATCACATTAATAGCTATATATGTTCCAATTTAAGGATGATTTGAATGATGAGGACGGTGCTGTCAAATGTAACGAGGCAATATCTCAAAATGATTGCGCGATATTCTACCGATGGACGTGTTTTGCAATCTCGATAGCCTATTCATTTCGATATACGAAAGGTCTCGACCTTCGACCTCGTCCGTTGCATCACGCATCACGCATCTGCGTATCTGCCAGACGAAAATCAATCGGAACACAAAGCCATCCAGTGACGCCTGTCCGACGGTCGATTTCCGATGGAAATCGCCGCACGATTCGCTGTCTCTCCGCTATCTTCGCCAAAGGATATGCGGCACTTGACGTCGCTCCGGCGATTCGACGGAGAATTTCAATTTGCGAGGGCGGCATTGCACCGCTAAAAGGGCGCTTGTACCAAACGTGAGAGGTCACTTTGAGGCCATCGAACGCTCTGAGGAGCCCTAACAGAATTTGCTGCGGTATTTTACGTCACCTTCAGCACGAAGAGCGAAGATAAACAAATATCAGCATAAATATACATATACATGAAACGCAATCTTAAAGAAAATTTTCTTTCATATTTTTCTCGCAAAAAGAGAAGAGAAAATAGAGATTTAGAGAAATATATAATACGCAAATATAAAAATTATCGTTGCTATATTTTACGAAACAATATACATCTGCAGGACTAATGATTCTTAATTTAAAACCAATCTATCCGAGACCACTGATGGGAAGCATGATAGCATGTAATAAAATAGTTCATTCCGCGCGATAAAGAGCGCGATTAACACGTGAATTGAAAACCGTGAATAAGCACAATCGTAAATCAGAGCCGGCGATCGATTCGAAATTTGGTTTCACGACGAGGATGTTTAATCGCGCGAATAGAAACGTTACATTGCGCATATTCAACGATAGAGAGATAGGAATAGAACGATAGAGAGATAGATTGTTTCCGACTCGTCTACGGCCAGCCCGTCCCGAAAGCTTTGACCAAAACTGGTTGACCGGAAACCGACACGCAAAAGTATTGTTGTGAAAAACTTTAATCCTCGCTCAAACGGACGATATTAATCGATCGTAATTGATCGACATTGGTATTTATTATATAATATATTATCAGTGTTGTGCTTAGATTAGTGATTTTAAAATTAGCTAGATAAAAATGAGATAAAAATATGTAAATTCATCTTATTGTTAGATAAATAAAATGAAGATGATGTTGTTTTAAATATAAGTAGATAAAAGAATAAAATTATATGGCAATTCTATCATCACCTAGATGATTTCCAATGTTATTTTTAAAATTGCTTATGTAAACGCAGTTATAGAAAAATATAAATTATAAAAAAGATATAAAAATATATTCACATATTTTTATTTATAAGTTTTTACTGCTTATTCTGCTTAGTATTCTACTACTTAAGTATTTTTATGTGCTATATACATACATGGTAATTCTAAATCAAATTATCTGAACATTATTCTAGATAATTTAGTAAAGATAAAATTATTTTTCATTTAAGACGCAGATAAGAGAGATAACATATTTTTATTATCTATATAAAGCTAAGATGACACTAATATTTCACCTAAATAATTATCTATATAATTTTATTTAGATAACAGAAAACATTGTATATATATTACAGAATCACATCCGGCATAAACTATATATTATAATACCGTCTCCTTAAAGAGATTATTTAGAATAAATTAGCAATGCACAAAAAAAATTTTATAATTTTTAACGCTTCATCTTCTTTATGTTTCGCGATATATCACTTGGCTAAAGTACGTACGACGTTATTATATTGCCTGGTCAGACGGGGAGAAACGGCAAAAGAGACGGAAACACAAAGCTGCGGTACATACATACGGCGGCACACCAAAATGCACCCATAAACCGCATCGCCGTTGCATACCGCAAATATCGAAATTGTTTCGCGCTACTGATATATACCTCTCTCATATTCTTCGCGTATCGCGCAACGGGGATCGTAATCGGCTATATCTTTTATGACGCCGGTTATGACCTCGTTTTCCTCGCGCCAGGTTGGTTAATGCATTTATGCGATAATGCGCTAAAAACTCCCTAAGCGATATAAATTATCGCATTTTAAATATTTTGCGAAAATTATCGCCTCGAGCTGATGACGAATCGCGCGAATTCTTTTTTGTGAAGCGAAACGTCGAAGACTTACTTATCATGATAGGATAAAATTAGATTTTTCTTTTATCTCGAAACTCAATCGTTTGTCTTGGGAAAGGATACTGTAAGCGATCATAAAGTTTATAATATACAGCTACGCAGTGATGCAACGATGTATCGTGAAACGATGCATCGCAAGTAATTTGAGCGCGTAACATCGAGCCAACCCTGACAAATCTCCTTGTATTACATGATGGATGACGAATGCAGAACGGCCAAAGTCAATTCTACGCGTGTTCCATCACGCGTGTACATACTCCTTTTTTTTTTTGCGTGAGAAATACGTTCTATATTTGAA